TCACCAAACTCCTGTACAAAACTACGCAACTTTGTGCTCCTTGAACTACATGTACTCACTTTAGGCATTGTAAGGTCAAACTGAAGTCTTATAACGCCCTCCACATATATAAATAGAATACTTCTAAGCCCTCCAAGAAAGAATGGGATGTATATACCTTATAGTAAGACGGAGTACAATAGGAGAATACCCGTTACACTTGCCTCCCTCCTGCCTCGAATGAGAAAGGTCATAAATGTTGCATTTCACAAATTTTCGCCTTTGTAACTGCAAGTACAGTCCAGTCAAAAATATGGTTTTTAATACGAAATTCATGTACTTGAACTCTATTCCACATTGAAGCAACGGTCCAGCCTGAAATTTATTTTGTAATACTAAACATTATGGAGCCGAAATTTTACATTATATCAAAGAATTGTTTCTAAAATGACAAAAATATGACCTTATTTCAAAATTATGCCAAAATATGCTGCAAAACCAATAAAATTCTAAAATATGCATTTATATGCACAATAAAAACGACATAATTTCAATAAGAATGACTGGAAACATGCATAATTACATTTAAAAATAGGAATAAACCCTAGGAAAAATATATGACATGTCATAGAAATCCAGGCCCTATTGATCATAATCCACTGTGTGAGCCAAATATAAAATAAAGTTATCAGTAATGTAAAAATGACTGTCCCATATCTTACATGAGGGTCATTCCATGTGAAATCATCCAGAAAGGTCGTTCACCACTTTTAAAAAAAATCAAAATTAGTACACTTATTTCTTCATATTTTCACACCTCAAAAAAATGTTAAAAATATTGTGATCCCCTCGGTTCTCCCGGTACAGCCGTTTTCATAATGAGAAGAAACGAGTTTTCGGCTCAAATGGAGGTTTGCGTTATCTTCTGTATCTTGATAACTATTGAAGCTAGAGACTCCAATGAAAAACCAATTTGTTCCTCATGATATGGACAACAAATCATATCATTACAAGGTTTTACTCAACTCACTTCCTCTAGGTGTAATTAAGCTTGAAACTTACCCATCGATTTTGGGAAAAACGCTATTTTTGACCTTTAGAAACCAATGGAAGGGGGGAAAGTATCAGATCTGCGGTTTCTACCCTTTGTTTTCTCCTACATGAAGAATATAATTACATAGTTTTGAATACCGTATCTATTTTCTAAAATTTTCCAGGATCTTCCAAACTGCTCTCGGCGCCAAATCGGTATTTTTAACGTCTCATATCTCCGGTGGGGAAGCTCAGAAAAAATTTAAACTCATAGCATATAATGCTCTATTCCAGAGTAACGTTGAGTTATAATTACAATTTTGATATTCAAATAATAGCGAAGTATCTATAATGCGAAAAAACACGTTTTCGGCTCAAATGGAGGTTTGATTTATCTTCCATATCTCGATAACTATTGAAGTTAGAGACTCCAGTAAGAAACCAATTGTTCCTCATGATATGGACTATAAATCATGGCATTACAAGGTTTCACTCAACTCACTTCCTCTAGGTGTAATTAAGCTCGAAACTTACCTATCGATTTTGGGTGAAACGCTATTTTGGACCTTCAAAAACCAATGGGACGGGGAAAATATCACATTTGTGGTTTCACAATTATTTTAACACTTTTTTTGAGGTGTGAAAATATGTAGAAATAAGTGTACAATTTTGAATTTTTTTAAAAACCTTGAGCGACCTCTCTGGATTATTTCACATGGAATGACCCTTAAGTATTATGTGCATAAATAAACAGGCATAATTTTCCAAAACAGATGGTTGCAAATTGCAATCCATGAACCTGCAATTCATATCACAGACCTGCAAAGTGATAACACTATGTTAAGTGCAGATTTCTGACACCAGAAGCAGTAAATTATTGCAACACAGAAAGCCTGAAATCTAAAGGCTTATGATCCATCCACAAAAATGCAACTTTTGATTACTCTCAAATATTTGAGTTTGCAGTCTTTAATCGCTTAAAAACTGTAAATCAAAATGTATCTGCAATGATCTGAACAAGTCACTGATAGATTTCACAGAGTCTGATATGTGTAAGTTGGCCATAGTGTATAAGGAAGGAAAGCCATATATTTACACAATATACAATTTGACCCTATTCAATAAGATAGATAGGTTATATCTTCAAGTTACACCCGATCCTTGCCCTCTTTACCCACACAGATTTCCTCTTTTGATTCTTCCTGCTGTCTCCCAGAAGAATATTAATGGGGATCTCACTGGCTGCAGATTACAAGACACTGCCAAGAACAGTTACCTTAGGGCAACTCATAATCTGATCTCCTGTGACTTAACATTATAGCAATAATATTCATTATTCCACGTATAAATATAAATGACCTAGCAAACAGTGCAGTGAGCTATAAATGTTCTGTTCTAGGAAATGACCATACAGAAATAACTCATAAATTTAGTGTAATTTGCATGTGATCTTCAAGAAATAAGTGGGTATCTGTACATCACTTGCCATATAATCAGGATTTAGGCAACGATGTCAGCTGATCAGAACTAACAATGATCTTCTGGGCTGAAGTTTGGAGAGAGCCTCCCTGCTTCTCTTCATTGCATGTTTTGGCTTGCCCGTTTGGCCCGGCTATGGAGACAATATGTTAGGCTTCCCAAACATAACATTTATACACTTCATAGTCACCACAAGTACCTCAAATCCAATGAAGAATTAAGTAGTTACTATAGGATTCTGACGATGGTGTATAACACACTGATATGCTCGGTTTTTGGACTTTATCCATCGTCCTGGTTTTTCAAGATAACAAATAAAACAATAGGTCCAGTGATTGAGGCTAGCTCTTTCTAACAGACCCAACTGAATAGGTGTTTTCCTTCATCTGAGGACGGAAACAGATCCAGTTTCCAAAACGTCGTGTTTTTATTTATCTTAAAAAACCAGGACGATGGATAAAGTCCAAAAACCCAACCTATCAAAGAATTAAGTAGCTCAATCAAACATTTCTCATTGTTCATAATATTCTAAACAATATTTCTATAGTTAAGAATGTTTAGTAGCTAACTCCACTCTGTTTCAGGGGTTCTTGAGGAACTGCAGTTGTGGCCTTACATCTAATCTGTACATTTAATGTTTACAAAACATATACTATATATCTCTAAAGGCAGTGCAGAATATTGCACACAGATCCTCTCCGTAATGTAATAAAAACATCATCTGTAAAATAATATCACATTACTTATATAATTCAGCAGTAGTAAGTGTGTGTGTATATATATATATATATATATATATATGTGTGTGTGTGTTTTTTTTTTAATATTTTATAAGAACTGTAAGGAAAGAATTGGTTAACATCTTCACAGTTGGAATATATTCTGTACATAAGTGAACAAATAAACAGTTACAAAATTCTTTTATATAAAGAATATGAGATATTGTATATAATGTTGTATCCTTTGTTTTGATAGACATATATGTGTTAAATATTATATTCTGATTTAAAACTCAGTACAGTTTCTGACGTAAGCAGCATATTTTGAAGTCAAAGCAGAATGAGCTGCATTCTTACATTACATTTGTTTTTATGATTATCTGAATCAGTGCTTCCACTTGCAAAAAAAAATAATCTACTTTGGTGTGAAAATAACTTCTGTGAATCTGACCACCTCTCCCCATAAAATCATTATAGAAACCTGGTGAGCCCTGGCTTGTCCAGTCACACACAGACATTCTTCTTTGTGATTCTCATGACACTGAACATTGCAATAATATCAAAGATGATTTCCCCACACCCTCACCCATCTTTACAGGACCTGATACTGTTGTAACTCAGGCTGTGCAGAGGATATACTGTGCCCTAGGGACTGATGGTCATTGAGTAGAGGTTCCATGTGTTCCAACTGTTCGGGTGAATCTAGAGAATCCAGGAATGTCTCCATCTTCTCCAGCAAATTCTTCCCACATTTGATAATGTTCAGATGTAACCAGAGCCTCATTCATGTCTGTACCTTCCACAACTCCAAATAAACGCTCCTCATCTGCAATGTAACATGAATACAAACCCTCACAGCCCACATCTCTACATCAAGAACATCAAGAGCCTGCCTCATGATCCTCTTTCAGTAATGTCAACAGCCGTGAACTGTGCGCTACAAGTTAAATCATGTGGAAATGCACCTGTACGACCGGCAGTACAAACACAACTTTCTCTTTCCTCTGAATGTGCACAATATTGGAATAGTTAGCTGAGAGTGCAGCTTGTCTCGCTTGGCACATGTGAAACCAAGGAACACACTTCTTAACACAGTGAGGACTGGTCGCATGATATCATGCTTTTGGCTCTTAAATGTGGCAGACCGGTCGCATGATATCATGATTTTAGGACACGTTAGTTTGTACCTTGCTCTGGCACCACCCAAGTTGCACGCAACGGCGCAATAAAACTCTGGAATGTTTGCTTACTTGTCAGTAACTTGATCTCACTGTTTTCTTAAGCCACTATAAATGAAAATGCTTTGCTGCTCTTCGAACTGTATGTATCAGCCAGTACTTAGTGGTGGGGTATGGACATGGACAAATTCTTCTCCGATGAGCCAGTTGACCTGCCTTGTGAGCCGCGTAGTTATGGTGATTGAGAGAGCAGCAGTGACAGGAAAGAACAAAGAATTGTGGCCAAAGACTGTAAAAGTGACAGTAGCTCCGATGATAATGCGGATAATAACATTGCAGGGACACTAAAAAATCTAAAAGAATCACAAAAATGTAACCCTAAATCAAAATCGAAATACAAAGCATTTCGAGATGAATGTGGCAAAGGCCTGGGCTACAGACCAGATGGTGGTGGCAGAACCAGAGTCAGTCACGGACTTAGTGCGACCAGACCCATCAACCCCCACCCCACGCAGGCCTCATGTGGACCCCCCAGGGTGACTATCAGGTGATATGCGGAAACATACCCTCGTGAAAATTGTGAAGAGTGAACATTCCAAGGGGAAGCATCCTTCTAGGTAATGCCGTGTTCCCACAGTTCATAAAAAAAGGAGTATGTCTACATTTGCAAATTCTGTGTAATGCCACTTCACAAAGGGGAATGTTTCCAGAAATATCACATCCTCACACACTTCTAGGAGCACTGTAAGTGTTCTCCAAAAATTTTAGTTAATAAAATTAATTAGGAGATTTTATATTAATTTTTAAAGTGAACAGTGCAAGTGTTAGGATAGTAAGTTTAATAATGGCGGTCCCCAGGGTGATCTAATATTTATATCACTGTTCCTCAATGTGTTAAAAGTAAGCTACTCAATGCATACAGCTGATTGCAATAAAAATATCAGAGCTTTTACTGAAAGATAAAAGTAAGCACTTTCCTTTTATATACTTTGAATTCCAGCAGTATGGCACTTGCCGGGCACCATGGGGTTAAAAGTCAAGCATTCTCATGTTTGGCACTGACTGGAGACGAATGTTCAGCTGTATGCTTCGGCTGCCTACAGCAACCTGATACCTGGTGAATATGTGGTCTCTAAACTACGAGTATTTTCTTTCTTCCAAGAACCAAACCCTGACTTCCCAGTCATCTTACTGACTAGTCTATCATGAGTGACATTTAAATCTTATGCATACTCCTTCCCAGCCAAATGAAAATCAAATCAAAACAGAAAGTATAATCATAGAATTATATGTATAGTGTGACGTGGTGGAACTACAGGATGTAGGGGTCACTTGAACTCTGCAGTCTCACGAGTGACGTCACATACCCCCACTCCTTCCATCATTGCGCAGTGCTCGGTGAGCGCCCCTTCCTTGGGGTGACATAACAGCATTTCCCACAGTGATGTAACAGGGGACACCGCGGTTACTACACAGCAATAAACAACTCTCAGCAGCATTGCCCACCAATGACTGTAAACACGGCAATTACGCAACAAGGAAGCGAGGTGCATTTTCCGATGTCTGGCTGAGGGTTTATAAGAGAACTGGAATGCCTAAGCAGTCAGTTGAATTGTAGCAGTCACCGAGTTCAGTTGTAGCGAGTCAATCGTAAGAAGACCAGAACGTGTGATTAGAGGCGATAGTGTGAGAAGGTATTGGGAGTGTGTAATACAGTGACGCTGGTATAGCTCCCGTATTGCACTGTGAATAAGTGAAGACTATTGAAGATAGAGTGAGCAGATTATTGTGTAGGGTTTATAAATTGTGTAAACCCGCAACTGTGTTATAATTAATTGTAGTTATGATTTGCAGGTTTTTGAATAAACCCATTAACAATCCGAACGGCGTCTTCAGTGGCAAAACACGTTACAATAGTAACAAAAAATAGAGACTAGATTACTGAATTCAGATCATTTTACAAGCAGATGAAATTTTATAATATTCATTACACTGACATTATTGTTTGTCATGACTATGGTCCCTCATCATTTTCCTCAGACCTTCCTGAAATGTGCCAGGATACTACCTCAAATTATGCCATGATCATTTCTTTCTGGACGTTTTCTCATTCATTATTCATTAATCATCCTCCTGCTTGATGCTACACAGTCTGAGCTACTAACAGAGCCATTAAACTATAAATATATAATGTAATATTGTTATATCTGCACATGTGCAAAGATGAGGGTGACACTTGAGAATAACAGTCTACTGGAAGGAGATGATTCAGAAGGCATGAAAAAGATGGAAAAATTCTGTCTTGTAACATCTGTTAACAGGCCAAGTAGATCTAATGC